GTGTGTCGCCCTCTGCTGGTCTGTGCGCGTGCGCGTGTGTGTCCGGGGCCGCGCGCGCTGAGGAGGCAGAAGGAGGCGCGCGCTCGCGTCACATTCTTCAGATGATCCGCTAATCATCAGAAACACCGACAGACCATCAGCGGAGCGGGACCGAGGTACGACACACACACACACACACACACTCACACACAGGACACCAGACACCGAGACACCAGACACCGGCGGGAAACCGGAGAGAGAGAGAGAGAGAGGAGATCATCTGAGAGATGCTAAAGCTAAAGCTAGAAACAAAAGACAGACAGACAGACAGACAGAGATAAACACACACACACACACACACACTGTACACACACTGACAGACAGATGCATCTTCATCATCTCATGAATACCCATCAGTCTGTATTTCGCGCTCAGTTCTGGATTCTCTGTGTTTGGTGTGAATCCTGAGCATCAGTGACTCTCTTATTGACCGAGTCATCATTTATTCTGCACTCAAAAAATTTTTCATGATTTTTCATCAAAGTGTAAATAGCTCTGAAACGACTTTAGTTTCCGCCTCGTGTCACCTGCTGGTTAATGTGGACCAGTGGTTAATTAGACACTCAGTTATTGTTATATTAAACTCAGCATTCAGCTCTGATAGCCACGCCCACACTCCCACCATCCAATCCCGCGCTGACGGAGCAGCTCAAGCCCCGCCCACTTCTTTGTGTCTCTGATTCACTCCGAGTGACGTCACATGAGTGTAGTACAGTAGTGTGTGTGTGTGTGTGTCTCTCTCTCTCTGTGTGTGTGTGTGTGTGTGTGTCTGTGTGTGTGTGTGTCTGTGTGTGTGTGTGTGTGTGTGTGTGTCTGTGTGTGTGTGTGTGTGTGTGTGTCTGTGTGTGTGTGTGTGTGTCTGTGTGTGTGTGTCTCTGTGTGTGTGTGTGTGTGTCTCTGTGTGTGTGTGTGTGTGTCTCTGTGTGTGTGTGTGTGTGTCTCTGTGTGTGTGTGTCTGTGTGTGTGTGTGTGTCTGTGTGTGTTCTCAGAATGCTGGCTGAAGATGGACGTTCCTGAATACCTGGATCTGGATGAGATTGACTTCACTGATGATTTACCTGTGAGTTTATGACTTTATTAATCACTCAGATTAATTGGCCGTTGCACGTGTACAGTACCTCCAATAATCTGTTCCTATGTTAATAACAAATGACAAACATGTTTTATTAGATTGTGCTGGTTTTAATCCTGTGAGGAAATATTATTTTTAATACCGTTAACTCTTTTGACGAGATTTTTTAAGCCAAATACAGTTTTAGTGTTTTTAGCGAAAATCTGATATAATTTAGCCGTACATTTTCTCACCATGAAAATAGCCACAGAAGCGTTAAACATGTTTATTAAATGTTTTATTTTTATTTTTAAAAATATTGTTTTTTAAATGTAACATTTTCATGATTTTATTAATGTGAATGTTTTATTTTGTTTGTTTTTTATTTTTAAATAATTCATCTCAACATGTCGTTTCTACGAATTAATAGTCTGTTTTTGTTTTATTTTTAGTGATGTAACGATTCACTCAACTCACGATCCGATTCACTTTTTTTTTTAACAAAGTTAGATTTAAATTAAATGTGTCCTTTTATTATTGCTTGGACAAAATGCTCACGTTTGTGAAATTGATATATAACACTATAATAATATACTAATATAGCACTTGTAAATTATTGCTCTTTTGTTGATTCTGATTGCTTCTATTGTCTTCATTTGTAAGTCGTTTTGGATAAAAGCATCTGCTAAATGACTAAATGGAAATATAATGTAAATGTAAATAACAAAACTAAATCTTAATGTTAAAGGGGTCATATGATGCTTTTTTTTAAGATCATTATTTTGTGTATTTAGTGTAACAGAATATGTTGACATGCTTTAATGTTCAAAAAACACATTATTTTTCAAATACTGTACATTATTGTAGGTCCTCTATGCCCCGCCTCTCTCAAACGCTTCGTTTTCTACAAAGTCCCTCCTTCCGACAAGCGCAGTCTGCTCTGATTGGCCAGCTGACCCAGTGCATTGTGATTGGCCGAACACCGCAAGCACTCGTCGGAAATGTAATGCCCCTTACCATAATCGCCAGCTTCATCTTTCAAAATAAATGTAAAGACAGTAAATAATGTCATTAGTTTTCCCATCAGTTCAAGCCCGAAAGGGGAACAGACACAGTAATGATGCAGTACACAAGCCGCGGTTAAGACAGCTGAATCTACTGTGATGTGACCCTGTCTCTCTCTCTCTCTCACACAATGTGCAAAACTCCGCGCTGCGCTTATGAACAGCAATGATACAGTGTTTCCTTGGTTACCGCTGTAAACAAAGCAGTGCTGCGCTTATGAACAGCAATGATACAGTGTTTCCTTGGTTACCGCTGTAAACAAAGCAGTGCTGCGCTTATGAACAGCAATGATACAGTGTTTCCTTGGTTACCGCTGTAAACAAAGCAGCGCTGCTCTTATGAACAGCAATGATACAGTGTTTCCTTGGTTACCGCTGTAAACAAAGCAGCGCTGCACTTATGAACAGCAATGATACAGTGTTTCCTTGGTTACCGCTGTAAACAAAGCAGAGCTGCGCTTATGAACTTTAATATGCATTATACAGAGGCAAGATGAAAAGAAAAAATAGCATCTAAACTTTTCTAAAGACCGTAAATTCTCCTCAGACATGCATTCATATAAACTCCTACACCTAAATGAATCGTGATTTGTTTAGCATCTCAACCGATTTGAATCGTCACATATTTAAAATCGATTTTCAGCGGCTCGCAGTTAATCGCTACATCCCTATTTATTTTGTTTATATGTTTTTTATTTAAAACGTATTTGTTAAAATGTTACTTTATTTGAAGTAAAATGTTTCATTTAATAATATTTTTCAACTTTCCCCTTTTTCATGATTTCATTCTTCGCTTTCCGTCAGCTCTCTTCTGCTCTAGTCAAGCATCTTAATGTGTATATTAAACATTAAATATGCGTTCATCGGATTGAGTTTACGTAGATCACAGTCGTTATTCCTCTGTGTTCGTCGGTCGTACGGTTAATTCAAGGTTTCGTTGAGTTGCTCCGATGTTTGCTGGCAGTCAGACTCAGCATGATAACACACGGGTTCCCGGGGGCTGATGGGTAATGTTTGTAGCATCGGTGTGTGACGATGATCTTTAACCCTTCGGATGTCTCCCGTCTCAGTACAAGAGCATTCCCGAGCTCTGCCGGAGACACGATGCAGCGAACGACGAGAGGCAAGGTACGAGTTCATGTTCATCAGAAACTGAATTGAGCTGAGTTATGGCACTACTGTCTTCTGTAGAGCTGCTTTAAACGAATTTGGTTTTAAAATATAATTGAATTTGTTTTATAGTTGATTAATTTTGCAACATTAATGCTATAATGTCACATTTAATGAAGTTTGCATCAATGTTTCTGTTCTTTTCTCGTCTGCTTTGTACTATTTTAGTTTTTTTTTTTTTTTTAGTGTCTTTCTTTTAAACATATTTAAATTGTTCTTTGTATTTCATTTTGTGTAAGTGTTTTGTTTGGATTTTTAGTTTTTATTTTAGGTTTTAAAAAATGTATTGATTACAGCTTTTCATTTTTATGACTTAATTATTAGCTTTTGATCAACTCCTGAAGCTCTTTTGGAAAACACCGCTCTAGTTAAACAGCTTAAAGTGCATATTAAATTATAAGTATGCATTTATAGAATCATTGATTTTTAATGATTAATTAATTAAAATGATTAATTTCAACTTAATTTAACTTAATGTCAATTTATAGAATCATTGGTTATTTTGTATTCTTATGTATTGCTGTTAAGCTGCTTAGTAACAATCTGTTTTTATTTTAAGATTTACTTCCACTTTTGATTAAAATCATTTGATTTAATTAATTTTTTTTGTTTTTTTTGTTTTATTGATATTTTAAAATTATTTATTTAAATGCTAGTTTTTTATTTTATTTCAGTGAGTTTTATTTTGATGGTTTTGTTTTAAAATGATTAATTTCAACTTAATTTAACTTAATTTCAATTGATAGAATCATTGATTCTGTTGTTTTATTGATTGCTGTTAAGCTGCTTAGTAACTATATATTTATTTTAAAATTTACCTCCGCTTTTAAATACATTTTTGTGTTTTATTGTTATTTTAAAATTATTTAATTTTTATTTATTTTTTATTTTGATGGTCTGTTTTTATTTTAAAATGATTCATTTCAACTTAATTTCAATTGATAGAATCATTGATTCTGTTGTTTTATTTATTGCTGTTAAGCCGCTTAGTAACAATCTGTTTTTATTTAAATAATTATTTTAGTGTTTTATTTATTTAAAACATTTTTTTTTAAAGATTTTTAGATTTTTGATTTTATTTTTCATTTAAAAAATTTTTTAGTCAGTGTTTTATTTTGGTAGTTTGCTTTTATTTTAAAATGTAATTTTTGATTTAATTATTACCGTCGAAACAGTCTGTGCTGTAAAAAGGCACTATGGAAGTAAACCTGGCTCATTTGGAGCAGACGTCACATTCGTATCCGTGTTTAAGATGTTCACGACGGTGTGTTTCAGCTCCGTCCATCAACTGGGCTCGCAGCGCGGCGTCCGGCGGCGCGGGAATCAAACCCACCGGCATCGCTGATGTCTACAGCAAGTTCCGTCCGGTCAAGCGCGTGTCTCCGCTCAAACACCAGCCGCAGGAGTCGGATCCGGAGACCGAGGGCCAGAGCAAGAGCAGAGGCCTGCCGCTGTTCGGAGAGCTGGAGCACTACGACCTGGACATGGACGAGATCCTGGACGTGCCATACATCAAGTCCGAGAAGAGGAGCGCCGCGGCTAGAGCGCTGAAGCCCGACCTCAGGCAGCCCAAGCCAGCGGATCAGGACCGTCTCAGGGCTCAGAGCGCTCACGGATCAGAGCTGGACGCTCTTCTGTCCGACAAAGCCGACGGCGGCCCGAGCGCCTCCCCTCTTCAGCCGGCCACAGGCCCGAGGCAGGACAAGCCCTGGAGAACGCTCGGAGAAGCCGACGAGGAAACCAAGAAGACGCAGAACATCCTGAACATCGTGAGAGAAGGACAGATCTCTCTGCTGGTGAGAGCATCTCCGTCAGTAACTCTAGTAAGAGTTTTTTGCTCCAATATTTATAAAAATGAAAAAATCATTTTCCATCCTCGTTTTCAATCTCTGTGAGAAACGCTCAATTTGAGGGGGCGTGTCCTCGCGCAGAAACGGACTGTGATTGGCTGGCTTCATTACACCGTAGCCACACCTCTTTTCCAGCATTTCGTGTGTTTTGTTGCTCAAGCACTAGATAGACAGGAGACATAAATAAAACCAATATATATATGGGTCAAAGACGAAAAAGGGTTTAAACAAAAACAAGAAGTGTAATACTGCTTTAAATTGTTGTTGTCAAAACGTGCCACTATCCTAGGTTTTGCCCGTTTGTTCAGTAAGAATTTAAAACACAATCAAATATAATACGCTCCCTTATTCTTTTATATATTTTAATATGTACACATCAGAATAAGCATGCAACAATAAATATTGTGTTACACTGAATGACAATGTAACATTGTTTCAACCAAATTTTGAGATTTTATTCTCCAAACACTTATTTGAAACCTTACGATTTACTAAATATCTTCATGGAACATGATCTCTACTTAATATCCTAATGATTTTTGGCATAAAAGAGAAATGTATAATTGTGACCCATACAATGTATTGTTGGCTATTGCTACAAATATCTCCCAGCGACTTCAGACTCCAGGGTCACAAATGTGTAAATATGAAGAACCTGTCGATTCTCCGTTTCATCACTGTGTCTGCAGCCTCACCTGGCGGCGGAGAACCTGGAGCGCATCCGAGACGAGGACGGGAACAACCTGCTGCATGTGTCTGCGGCTCAGGGTCACGCCGACTGCCTGCAGCACCTCACCTCGTTAATGGGCGAGGACTGTCTAAACGAGCGCAACACACAGCAGCTGACGCCCGCAGGCCTCGCCGTCAGGGTACCACACACTCACACACCGCAGATGGGAACTAGAGCTGGCTCGATAACACTTTATCAGAACCGATCCCATCCCAAAAATCATCAATCCGATACCAGCGCAGTGTTCTAAAAAAAAAAATCACTGTAGAATTTCTATGTGTGTTGATCTGATAAACACTCTTTTGTGTGTTACAAACAATCTACTAAATATAGACAACTTCATTATAAAGAAAAATAACAAACGAAAAAATATAGAATCATAATCTATGACATAACACATTCATAAAAAACAAGTAGTATAGTATAAGTATATTTGTGTGTTTGCTTGCGCGCGCAGAACGGTCATCTGGAGTGTGTGCGCTGGATGGTGAGTGAAACCGAAGCCATCGCCGAGCTCAGCTGCACTCGCGAGCCGCCCAGCCTCATCCACTACGCTGCGAGACACGGACAGGTGAGCAACACACTAGGGGTGTGCAATATATATCGTCTGCGATAATATCGTAATTGTTGTTTTAACGATGTGTGATTTGACATTAACAAGTATTTTGCAAAAACCAAACAAAACACCCCTACAGAGCACACGCATACATTATGTGAAGTCTAGAATAGTGCGCATTTAGAGTGTGAAAGAACATGCAGTGAAACATGCACTTTCTCTCTCTCACACACACACACACACACACAC